CTGCCCAGGTAGTGCTTGTACTCTTGACTGTTCCAGCTTCTAATCATCTGCTTAGAAAAATGACGGGATGACAGCAACTGGTCCAGACGGCAAGATCCAAGAGTCAACGGATAGCAATCAAGTTGAGCATGTTCCTTAGTTCTAATCTTTGGAAGTCACTTCGGATGTGCGGCCCGGGCATGTACCTGAGTACATTGGCTCACGAGCATCAGTCGTGCAAATCTCAGTTCAGTTTTGAAACCTAGCTTCGTACTTTCACAAAATGAGAGATAGAGCTAGTGGAGATTGCATTACTAATCCTCGTCTTCCATGATACAGGTACCCCTTGGACACCCAAACCGTAGGAGGTGACATAGGAATTGCTTAGGGAAGTTGTTTTGGTCGTGGTCGGTACCAGGTTACTAGGCGGATGATCCTACACCTCGGACGAATGTACCGAAAACGGCCTAGTCGATCTGCTTAACCAAAAATGGCCCATTTGGAGCTCGCATTCATGGCCGGGGCTCAACAGAGCAACCCCGGCTGCTTTACCTATTTAAAGTTTGAGAATAGGTTGAGGGTGTTTCACCCCCGATGCCTCTAATCATTCACTTTACCCGATAAAACTCAGCAAGAGCTCCAGCTATCCTGAGGGAAACTTCGGAGGGTACCAGCTACTAGATGGTTCGATTAGTCTTTCGCCCCTATACCCAAGTCTGACGAACGATTTGCACGTCAGTATCGCTACAAGCCTCCACCAGAGTTTCCTCTGTCTTCGCCCTGCTCAGGCATAGTTCACCATCTTTCGGGTCCCAGCAGGTATGCTAACACTCAAACCCTTCTCAAAAGATCAAGGTCGGTCCGTGTTGCACCCAAAAGGGGATTAGTTTCCTTTCGCCTGTACGGGTTTAACACCCACAGATTTGCATACATGTTAGACTCCTTGGTCCGTGTTTCAAGACGGGTTGGATGGAACGCCCAAGTTCCAGCATCTGGTGGGGCACCGGAGCACCCCGCCATTTTCAGAGGCAGCGGCGGCATTGGCAGGGAGCCAGAGGTTCACAAGCCGTTATCCTGCCGCGTCCTCCCATGCTGGACAGCCCCTTGCATTGCTTGGCAGACCAGCTCTCGCCGTTCCACACACAACCAAGTTGCGCATAAGGCATCCATTCGCTTCCCTCCCAGCAATTTCAAGCACTTTTTAACTCTCTTTTCAAAGTCCTTTTCATCTTTCCCTCGCGGTACTTGTGCGCTATCGGTCTCTCACCAGTATTTAGCCTTGGATGGAATTTACCACCCACTTAAGGCTGCATTCCCAAACAGCCCGACTCGCCAAAAGAGCCTCGTCTGAGCAGCTGCTTCAAGAACTTCAAAAAAAATATACACAAACTAGTAAATAGCACATATTACAGCTACCATAACCTTAAATCTGTCTGTATAGCCCAGCTGTCTGGCAATTTTATAAAGTACTACAACAACTAAACTCCTGCAACAGTCCAATCTCAATAGTGTTATTATAAACAAGTATAAGCATGACAATGAAAATATCTTACAATCAGAAACTGCAGTTTTTACCCAAATTAGTTGAGAAACTGGTCTTTACATGTGTACTTAGTGTTATATATTGTAAAGCATTCCCCTTCTATAATCTTTTGAAAATTTAGAAGTACATGAAAGAAAGCTCAAAGCTAAAAGCAAGGAAATTTTGGGATAGCAGACTTGTGGCAGTTTGGCTTCATCTTTCTTGGCATTCAACTTCCACAGAAGAAGTTGAGAAGCAGCCAAAGTATTGAAACACATAGAGTCATAAACTTGAGCCTTTTTTAGCAAGATGCACAAACGCTTGAGCAATGTTTTCCAGATCACTAAGTAAAAAAGAGGTGTTTTAAGCTTGCTTGGAATTTCTTACAAACTTTTGCATACCGATATGTGTCCTTATATGCCTACAGACATATGATGTTCTTCTATTTGATTCAGCCAAACTAGCGAGCCTTTCTTTCTGTAACATCAAACATCTACAAAGGTTTGTGTTTTCACTCTTATAATTAATTACTGCAAGCTTTTTAGATTTCAACACATGATTTTGCAATCACTTGCTCAAGTATTCAGGTTCCGTCAGCTTCATTGGAAATCGTGTTTTTCAAGTATCTGAGGTCGCTCTCCTTGCAGCAGGCAGCATTCCTCGCACAATCCTGTACACCAAAGCCTCGAATGTATAGAGGCCACTCAATAAACTGATACCTGGTAAAAGAAGATCTCGTATCTGCTCATAGATTTGGAGAGCTAAATACAAAAAGAATGAAGGAGGACCAAAAGCGAGAAGACTTCCTCGTACCGTCTGTGAGAAAAGAAAACCTCAAAAAACAATGTGCCGAGTAACTAGCATTACCCCGAATGCAGCGGCACTCCAGCAATATCTTGCAAAATCCTCTCTCACAATTCATCGCAGACGCTCCCCAGAACGCTCACAAAATGTACAAAATACGCTGGCCTGTCCACGACGCAGAACGTCTATTGTCTTCTTACCGCGAAGAGTCGCGGGTACTTGAGCTCCTCCTTGGCAGAGTTGTCAAGAACTTGAGTTGGCACGGGTTCGAAATCCTCCAGGATCTGAGGCTGGACCATCTGGGTGCCAATGATCTGCGTGCCAATGACAGTTGTAGAAGAACGTGATCCTGTCCGGTAAGACCCCCCGAGTGGAGCATCTTACAGACAAAATGCCTCGCAAAGGTAAATGCCGAAAAAGAGAAGTCCGTGCCAAAACATTTTGGTCTTTCATCTGATCGACGAAGTCAAGCGCCAGAGCCGTGGAGCCACACCAAAGATACATCTGGATGACGATGTTTTCCAGCACCGAATCGTCAGGAGGAGCGATTCCCTCAAGACGAGACGCGATCTCTCCCGCCTCCATCTACTCCAGTAGCCGCTTCATCTCCGTCCGGCGTTGACCTTTTTGATCCCAATTCTTCCAGGGACTTGACGATCGATCGATCGATCAAGCACAGAATGCGCGGCAAGGGCAAGACTGGCCATTCTTAGCAACTTGCATCCTGGGGTTTCTATTGTTCGTGTTGCGGGCAAGAAAATTGCGATCCCACAGCCGTTGATCGGCTGCTTGCCCTCCTTCCCCTTCAGATCAAGGGGATCAGATGCCAGGAACTAGCTAGGAGAATGAAAAGACAAAGATCCAAATCATCCGAATCGTGAAGGCAAGCATCTAAGGAGCGACCAAATACATGTCGAAGATCTAAATCCGGCCAAGCTGGGCAAGATTGCTGCTCTGCGAGACGTTTAGATGGCAGTAGGATCCCATAAACTTCAAGCTGTCAGGGCAACAAACCAAGCCATGGTCCACACGATTCTTGATTGACCTGAACATTCACATAATAGAAAACTCTTCCAACAGATTGATTTATATATTGACCATACATCCGAAGCTTTCACAAAACGATTCTACTGGACAACCAACTCAACGACGAAGTCTTCTTACCGCGAAGAGTCGCGGGTACTTGAGCTCCTCCTTGGCGGAGTTGTCAAGAACTTGAGTTGGCACGGGTTCGAAATCCTCCAGGATCTGAGGTTGGACCATCTGGGTGCCAATGATCTGCGTGCCAATGATCTGGGTGCCAGTCTGCACTTCAAAGGCCGCAGCTGCCGCCTCGGTGGCTCGGGCCACTGCGTGAAGTGGAGTCGATGGGACTATCTCCACACTGGCAACCGGCTTGACAACTTCATCTACAGGATCAGCCCCTTGATCAAGGTCCAAATCCGCGGTGCCTTCGACCACCTGACCAGCAGCAACGTCAAAATCCCCAGTGCCCTCAACAGCAGCAAGGCCCGGAGCTCCACCATCGTGGGCGTGAGATGATATCCACTCCTCGCAAATCCCCAACGCGGCCAGGATATCCTGCTCAAGAGCGGCAAGCCTTTGCGGCAAAATTCTATGGGATCCGACATGAACCCCCCTCTGCCTCTTGGGCTCCGCTTCGTCCCCTTCGACATCCTCCGGGAAGAGTTCTAGGTCCACCTTAAACAAGGCGTCGGTGCCTTGGGCCACCACACCCAGCGATCCCTCGGTGACCGCGTACCAAAACCCAGCTACCATAATCTACAACCGAGACAGAAAAAAGTGAGGGAGAAGCTCACGGTAGAGAGCAAGAAGTTACCATGATCGACTTGATCACGACCTCTCCATTCTCTGGAAAGTTCTGGACATGCGCCGCCTCAATCCTCCCTGTGAAAGATCAACCCACATTCAATCATCTCAACTTGTATACCTCTCAAATCGGCGATGGTGGTGTGCAAGGGCGCGATGATGAGCAACCGGGTGCCCAGCGTCGTCTCCACACAAGCACGGCACATCCGATCCTCGGCCATGCTCTCCCTAGAGCCCCACCTCCAACCTAAAGCTTTGAATCACATTCGGACACGTGGCTATCTAAAAAATGTCCTAGCTTGTATTTAAGAAAGGCAACGTAACAATTATCGCGCTTTTAAAAGATTAGATCTGACAAGGCAAAGAATATCCACCGAGAAAAAACGCTCAAAGAAACAGGTACAGATCTTTTGTTTCTTATTTTTTATCAACAGATCCAAAACCAAGAGCTTCGTTGTTCTAATTTGAAAGTCTTTTTAAATTCCACTATTTGTGACCTGGACTGCTCTATTCCATCTTAATTCTTCTAGTGAAACATTGGATTTCATCTCCTACGAGGGTCACCTCCAATTTGAGACAATGGCATTTCGATTGCATTTGCCAGACACGAATGAAGAACCAGGGACAAACCCCAAGAGCACTGCTTAGTAACATTATAAAGGCGGAGCAGGACGGGTAGGTTATTTTATTTTCTCTCTTGCTCGGCTACGGCCGACATTCTCCTCTCTCAACATTGGTGGAAAAACGATCCTGCTACGTTTCAGGCAATGATGAATCACCTCTTTGGCCCATTTCTCTTCAGGTGTTTCATTGTAATTTTTTATGACATTCTCTTGTATAGCAGTTCTTGGGAGGAACATTTATGCAACTTCGAGAAGACTCTTCAAGTTCCTGACGAGTTCTCGCTTGTGGGCAAATTGAGCAAGTGTTCCTTCGGTATAACAGAGATTGAGTACCTCGGCTTTATTATTGGTGGGGGGCGGGTAAAGGCGATAGAGAACTGGCCACAGCCCCGATCAATCAAGCAGCTACGTTCTTTTTTGACCTTTGCAACTATCTCAGTAAGTTTGATGTAAATTAAGCATCTATTGCTTCACCACTGTCTGATCTTTTAGGTCCATCCAGTTTACTTGGAAGTTCCAGGTTTGTTCGATTTTAAACCCACAGATTCACCGGCTGGCAACGAACACCTGCTTTCTCTTCGGGAAATCCAGTTGCTGGTTTGACACCATTTAGAAGCAGCCAGGAACCGAATGAAGCAGTCTGCTGACAGAAGACACTCATTTCGTGAATTTCAAGTGAATATGTATCCTTTTGGCTTGAGTGGCACACATATTGGGAAGCAGAACAGTGTCCAAGTCCAAGCTCCATCCTCGCTCTTATCAGGTCGTCAAACAAATCAATGAGGTGGTGTACAAACTTTTGCCTTCACAACGTACTTCATATGTCTGAGCTCAAGGTGCAGCATGGTCTACTTCCAAGCCAGCCAGAAATACCGACTCCAACGATAGCCATGGGTGACAGATTTTTACTTATCACAGAGAGGGTCGTGGCTCAGGAAGAACAGGTGTTGTGCATCCGTTTTCGGATTCACTGGTAGGGAATGATAGCAGAGAATGACACCTGGGTTTCTACTGAGGAACTGGCCGCTCTGCATGATTCTGGGGGCAAGTACAGAGTGTTCGACCATGTTATGAGTATAAAGGTGGAGCAGGGTGGTGACGGGTAGGTTACTTTATGTTCTCTCACTTATGCCAACATTCTCTTCTCTTTATTCCTTCATTGTATATCAGGATTGTTCCCAACTCAGCAATATGATTGGCGCTTGTAACCAACTGTGAGACCAACATTATAAGTCTCATATCTTTAACAGGTCTTAATCCCAATTTGGTGGGGGGTTCCAAGTATAGTAAAGATATTAAAGTTAAAACCCAAAAAGTGTTTTTGAGCCATGTTGGGTTTGGGGTGTAACTCTCATACCTAAAAAGGAAATTAATTGTTATGATGCATTATTTAAATACTATAAAGTTTATTAGTCCTTGCTCCTTCTGAGGAGGCTTGGACTTTTCTTTCAAATTTGAGATGGAGTTGAGTTATCCACATCATACCTTTTAAGCCACCTTATACAACAACAACATTCAATGACACTCTTTAGTACACTAAATTTGTAAGTTTTTAACATCCCTTAGTACAATAGAATTTATTTATGAAACCTTATAAATTCCAAGTGCATCTTTTAATTTGGAACCATTGGAAGAAAAAATAATTTTCTTATCATATTAAAATTTTTTAAATAAAATAAAATTTAATTTTTGTTATATACTCTCAAGTAAAGTTGATATAAAAGCTTATATTTATTTTGTGATATACAACATAAAACATATTAAACTTAATCAAATAAATTTTGTATGTATACTACATTATTAAAATTCACCAAAACAAAGGTTCTAAAAAATGATTAAAAACTTTATCCAAAATGTTTATATGTACAAAAAATAACATATTAAATATAAAATATATAGAGTAGGACTTTTATTTGTAATCATTTATTAAAATTCAATACAACCGAGTTCATAATAGAGTATTTGAGAAAATGATTAGAAGTTTTAAATATAAAAATATTATACAATTTAAAATAAGTTATAAATTACATATAATTTTACATATTTAGAAGCTTTATTAAATAGAAGAAGTTTTACCATTAATCATTATATAAATTATTACTGAAATAATTTTTAAAAAAAATTCTTGAAAGGATCTAAATAAAAAATATAAATTTATAATTTTTAAAAATAAATGTAATATATAGATAAGATTTTTTAGTTTTAGAATGATACTAGTAACTGTTATAAAACTAAATAAAAAAACATTAATAAATATAAATAATTTAAATTATTATATTAATGTTCTAAATTAACATTAATATTAATATCTATCATTGTGAGTGCTTAGAATATGGAAAGGGAATACAAAAAATGTGCATATCAATTAACCCAAAAACCCTAGCTTATATACAGGAGTGTGTGGTCCGGATTGAAACTAATATGACAGCTACCAAAATCCCATTATGCTAATATTAGTATATGGCATCATAGTGTGAGACACAAAATCCCTAGGCCCCAAAGTGGAGCTGGAAATGGTGCCACGTGGTAGTGGCCGAAGTGAAAGCCAAACGAGCGTAACACGTTTGGACTAAAAGCTCTAACTTGGAAGGTCGAGAGCGAGAGTGGAACTCCCAACAAAGTGCTCAAGGAGCGAGCACGAAACGAGCAATAAGCAAGGCTCCAAAAAGGGACCCAAAAAACACCAACACATGACACGTGGAAGTGTCCGAGATGGAGTCCAAGACGGACCCTAGTCGGAGTCCGAGATGGACCCGAAGTGGAGTCTGATATGGAGTCTGAGATGGAGTCTGAGGTGGACCGAGACGGAATTTGAGATGGACCCGAGATGGAGTCCGAGATGGAGTCCGAGATGGACCCGAGATGGAGTCCGAGATGGAGTCCGAGGTGGACCGAGACGGAGTCTGAGATGGACCCGAGGTGGAGTCCGAGATGGAGTCCGAGATGGACCGAGATGGAGCCCGAGATGGAGTCCGAGATGGAGTCCGAAAAGGACCTGAGATGGAGTCCGAGGTCGACACCGAGACCGGGACCGAAACCGAGACCGAGACCGAGACCGGGACCGAGACCGGGACCGAGGCCAAGGCTGAGACCAAGCCCGAGCCCGAGTCCGAGTCCGAGTCCGAGTCCAAGTTCGAGTCTGAGAGGGTGAAAGCCCAAAGCGTTCGTCTCCCAGACCCTGGGGGGTTTGGTGAGCTCCAAAAGTATAGTAAGGGGGAGGACTGCAGTGGAGCCAGTTTGGCCAGGAAAGGCCAGTTTGGCCTAGGAAGGCCAGACCCAGTGTTGGGTGATGAACTGACCACTGGGAAGTCCAAGACTAGAGTGAATACGGACCGACAAGCGGGGTAGCTTGGTGAAGTGTTCAAGAGTCGGCTCTAGTTCCCCCGGGAGATCGACTGGCCGATGCTCCCAGTCCAAGTGTGGGTGGCACTACCTACTTGGATACCAGGCGTGGCTCAATGGAACCTCACTCTAAGCCCATGGCTAGAGCACCTAAAGGCGATAGGCGGGGAGAGTACCCAGCTGGCTCGCGTAAGGCCACGGTGTTCCGAAAAGTTGTCCCAAAGGCCTAGACTGTGGAAAGGAAGAGGAGCAGTCCTCTAGGGTAGTGACCAAAGGACACAGTCGTGAGGTGAGGAAGTCCCAGAGGACCATGGCACTTAGTGGTCGGGCCTGTGGGCCTCGATCCAGTGGCAGTGTTGGCAAACACGGCCAGGGGCAGAAAGGGACTTGGTAGGAACTGACAAAGGGACTTTGGGGAAGGTGTTTCCCCAGGTCTGTGGGCATCCTAAGGATGCTAAGGAGTGGATCTAGGATGACCACTCTGTAAGCGACTAAATTTTCCATTCTACTTTAGTCACTTAACCACACCTCCGACCACTTGGAGGAGTCTCATTCACAACCTCCATCAGTCCAATTTAGGACTTGGGACTTGCTAGCCTCAAGAATGGCATCCATGCCACTCAACACTTGCACCTGGTCCAAGTGCTCCTCGTGTCCGGTCCCCAGAACGACACCCAAAGGTACCACTGACATCTCAGCCCGTTATGCTAAGGCCATGCCCATTCACCTTTGCAGGACTAGTGGTCCAATACCACTTGCATCACAATCCCGTCTCTCCAAGACTGGGCCATCTGTCCACAAGTGGTCATCCTAGATCCACTCCTTAGCATCCTTAGGATGCCCACAGACCTGGGGAATTGCCTTCCCCAAAGTCCCTTTGTTAGTTCCTACCAAGTCCCTTTCTGCCCCTGGCCGTGTTTGCCAACACTGCCACTGGATCGAGGCCCACAGGCCTGACCCCTAAGTCCCATGGTCCTCTGGGACTTCCTCACCACACGACTGTGTCCTTGGTCACTACCCCAGAGGACTGCTCCTCTTCCTTTCCACAGTCTAGGCTTTTGGGACAACATTTTGGAACATCGTGGCCTTACGCGAGCCACCTGGGTACTCTCCCTGCCTTTCGCCTTTAGGTGCTCTAGCCATGGGCTTAGAGCGAGGTTCCATTGAGCCACACCTGGTATCCAAGTAGGTAGTGCCACCCACACTTGGACTGGGAGCATCGGCCAGTCGATCTCCCGGGGGAACTAGAGCTAGCTCTTGAACACTTCACCAAGCTACCCCGCTTGTCGGTTCGTATTCACTCTAGTCTTGGACTTCCCAGTGGTCAGTTCATCACCCAACACTGGGTCTGGCCTTCCTGGGCCAAACTGGCCTTTCCTGGCCAAACTGGCTCCACTGCAATCCTCCCCCTACCATACTTTTGGAGCTCACCAAACCCCCCAGGGTCTGGGAGACGAACGCTTTGGGCTTTCACCCTCTCAGACTCGAACTCAGACTCGGACTCAGACTCGGACTCGGACTCGGACTCGGACTCGGGATCGGGCTTGGTCTCAGCCTTGGCCTCGGTCTCGGTCTCGGTCCCAGTCCCGGTCTCGGTCTTGGTCCCGGTCTCGGTCTCAACCTCGGACTCCATCTCGGGTCCTTCTTGGACTTCATCTCGGACTCCGTCTCAGTCCATCTCGGACTCCATCTCAGACTCCGTCTCGGTCCATCTCGGACTCCATCTCGGGTCCATCTCGGACTCCGTCTCGGTCCACCTCGGACTCCATCTCGGACTCCATCTCGGGTCCATCTTGGACTCCATTTCGGACTCCATCTCGGGTCCATCTCGGACTCCATCTCGGACTCCATCTCGGGTCCATCTCGGACTCCGTCTCGGTCCACCTCGGACTCCACTTCGGGTCCATCTCGGACTCCAACTAGGGTCCGTCTCGGACTCCATCTCGGACACTTCCACATGTCATGTGTTGGTCCTTTTTGGGTCCCTTTTGGAGCCTTGCTTATTGCTCACTTTGTGCTTGCTTTTTGAGCGCTTTGTTGGGAGTTCCACTCCCGCTCTCGACCTTCCAAGTTAGAGCTTTTAGTCCAAACGTGTTACACTCGTTTGGGCTTTCGCTTCGGCCACTACCACATGGCACCCTTTCCGGCTCTACTTTGGGGCCTAGGGATTTTGTGTCTCACAACTCCACCACCCATAGACGAAGTTCGATGTCCTCATCGAACGGTAAACCCTTTTATAAAGTAACACCCGCAGGCATTACCATTCCCATCCTTGGCACCCGGCCAATATTTGTCTATGGTTTGACCCCGAAGGCTCACCATGCCTTGTCCATCCTCTAAGGAGGATAGTCTCTCCAACTTAAAAACTGATTGGACCACTTGGGGTGGTTCTTTCCGTTTATTGGTTTAGTTCTCGCTAAACCCGTTAGAGGCACCCTCTCTAACTCAATTCCACTACTCATTCTTGAGTAGTCACAGATTCCATTGATCTACCTTTGCACTTTGGAACGTTTACTTTTGACTTCTTGAAGTCAATTTTCTAGGTGTCTCTGACACCTTGCCTTGCACATTTTGTGCAACTCCACTTCCCCTCCTAGGAAGTTCTGTACTTGAGGGCACCCTCATCCTCTTTTCTATTTTTGTGCCACCATTGGCGTTACGTTCCATTTATCATTATTTGTGCTAGGGCTACCCATGGCCCTATTATTTGGCTACCTTACCGCTCCCCTCTTTGGAGCATCCACTTTCGCCAAATCGGAGCGGTTGGGAATCCATCTTTGGGGAAACATTGCCTTTCCCACAATCAATTAGCACCCAACACATTAGTGTTCTCAGCTTAACTTTGCCATTCGGATTCTTCCCCAAGATTCCCATGGCTCTTTTCTTAGCCACTAGTCTTTTGCTC